CGCCGCTCGCGCACGCCCTGCCCTGCCCGCGCGCCACTCGCCGCCGCGCCGCACTGCCCAGCACGCGCGCCGCGCGCTCCGCGCTGCCCTGCCTTGCGCGCGCGCCCCTCGCCGCCGCGCCGCCCTGCCCTACCCGCGCGCCGCCCTGCTGGCTGCCGCCCTGCCCTGCCCTGTCTGCGCGCCGCCCTGCTGGCCGCCGCCCTGCCCTGCCCTGCCTGCGTGCTGCCCTGCTGCTAGCGTGCCCCACTGCTCTGCCAGCAATGGCTACTCTCAGCGTCCTCACCTTCGATCCTGAGGGCCGTCCCATTGAGTTCGATGCGTGGCTAGACGACCTGCAGCTGTACCTACTGAGCGACTCTAGGGACGGCGTTTCGCTGTTTGACCTCACGTCTGGAGCCTCTCTCGCCCCTCCCGCCACAGCTGACAGTGCGACTCGCTCACAGTGGCTTACCCGTGACGCTGCTGCTTGCCTAGCCGTTCGCAACCACCTGCCGTTAGCCGAACGCGCTCACTTTGGACAGCACAAGACTGCTAGAGCCCTGTACAACGCTGTAGTCGCTCGTTACTCCTCCCCGGCCACTGCTGCTCTAGGCCGCCTTCTACTGCCCTACCTGTTTCCCGAGCTGTCCGCCTTTGCCACAGTTGCCGATCTAGTCACTCACCTTTGCACTAGTGACACTCGCTACCGCACCGCGCTCCCCGCCGAGTTCCTCGCCAAGAACCCCCCTCCCATGTACATCACTCTCTACTTCATCGTCACCCGCCTCCCTGACTCTCTTAGCGCAGTCAGGGACCTCCTTCCCGCCCTTGACCCCACAGACCTCACTGTCAACCTGCTCGAGAAGCACCTCCTTGCAGCTGAGACCAGCATAGTCGCTGTAGGCGCTTCTCGTGGCACTCCTCGCACTCCCTTCTTTGAGGGGTGTTCCCCCTCCCCCCTTGTCCCCTCAGTCGCTTCTGCTGCTGCTGTTAACTACCTTCGTGCTGAGGAGGTAGGAGCCGCGTCTGCTCCTAGTAGGAGGGGTGGCAAGGGTGGTGGGGGTGGCAACGGTGGAGGCGGTGGTGGGGGCGGTGGAGGCGGTGGAGGTGGCGGTGGTGGCGGAGGGAATGGTGGTGGGAGTGGATGCTTTGGTGGCGGCGGCAGTGGGAGTGGTGGCGGCGGCAGTGGTGGCGGCAGTAGGAGCGATGGCGGTGGCAGTGGTGGCGGTCGGGGTGGAGCCGGTCAGAGGAGCAGTTCTGGCGATGGTCAGAGGCAGCAGCAGCAGCGTCAGAGTGAGACCCCTACGCCCTAGGAGCTTCGTGAGTGGTTTGCTCAGCGTGGGGCGTCTGGGGGTAGTGCTCGCTGCCAGTACGTCATTCGCACAGGTGACCGCACTGGTCAGACATGCGGGAAGGTTGGTCACACAGAGTCCCGCTGCTTCTCCCGTCGTAACGACGCTTTTCGCGCAGAGTTTCCCAACGCGACTGAGCTCCCCTGCTGGGCAGAGCTGCTTAGGCAGGGTGTGGATATCTTTGCTCTTGATTATGATGCTATCCTTGCTGCCATGTATGCATTGACTGTTAGTGCTGAGGGTGACTGTTACCTGTGTATGCCGCCCGACCCAGGTATAGAGGCTGCTGCTCTAGGTGCTAGTGAGTCTGCTCTCTCCGGTACTGTGCCTGCTGAGGCTTTGCACACTTTCACGCTTGACTCAGGTGCTTCCCGCTGTTTCTTTCGCGACAGTACCACAGTCACACCGCTCCCTGCACCTGTTGTTGTCTCTCTAGCTGACCCCTCTAGGGGCCCAGTCCTTGTACGTTCCTCCACTGTTCTCCCGTGTCCGGCGGTTCCGTCTGGCTCACTGTCAGGTCTTCACCTCCCCTCGTTCTCTACGAACTTGGTGAGCAACGCCGTCCTTCAGGATGAATGGGTTGATACCTTCACTCCAGGAGGACAGCGTGTGGCGATCTGTACGTGCTCCCGGACTGGCCGGCACCTGGCCACGTTCGCCCGTCGGCCTGGGTCGAGTCTGTACACACTGACTACTGAGCCTCCTCAGGTAGCTGCGTCTGCGTCTGCGTCAGGTGAGCTAGCGGCCCCCTGCTCGTGTCGCGCCCTGTCACACCAGACGCTCCTTTGGCACCACCGCCTTGGTCACCCCTCCGTGGCATGCACTCCCGTCTCCTTGTCTCTAGTCTTCCCAGGTCTCTGCCTACTCTCCCACCCTCGCTTGCCCCTCCCTGCCTTCCCTGTGTCGAGGGGCGGAAGCGCGCCTCTCCTCACTCCTCCTCGTTTCCCCCGACGACTGCTCCCCTGCAGACTCTCCACATGGACGTGTGGGGCCCAGCCCGCGTCCGTGGATAGGGCCGCGAGCACTACTTTCTGCTGGTTGTTGACGACTACTCGCGTTACACCACGGTCTTCCCCTTGCGCAGCAAGGGGGAGGTCCCTGATGTTTTGATCCCTTGGATCCGCGCTGTCCGTCTCCAGCTCCGCGAGCGGTTCCACACGGACCTTCCAGTCCTGCGTCTGCACTCTGACAGAGGTGGTGAGTTTTCCTCCGACCTCTTGCGGGACTTTTGTCGTGGGGAGGGCATTCGCCAGTCGTTCACGCTTCCGGCCTCTCCGCAGCAGAATGGGGTTGCTGAGCGCCGCATTGGCTTAGTCATGGAGGTCGCTCGTACCTCCATGATCCATGCGGCTGCCCCCCATTTTCTGTGGCCGTTTGCGGTCCGGTACGCTGCGCATCAGCTCAACCTCTGGCCCCGTGTCTCCTTGCCGGAGACCTCGCCTACACTGCGTTGGACGGGGAAGGTTGGCAATGCGTCGGTGTTCCGGGTCTGGGGCTCTCGTGCCTTTGTCCGCGATACGTCCGCGGACAAGCTCTCCTCCAGCGCCATTCCCTGCATCTTCCTTGGCTTTCCCCCTGACGCGCCTGGCTGGCAGTTTTACCACCCCACCTCGTGCCGTATCCTGCCCTCTCAGGATGTCACGTTTGACGAGTCGGTTCCCTTTTACCGCCTCTTCCCCTACCGCACTGCCCCTCTCCCCCCCCCGCCGCTCTTCCTCGCACCAAGTCCTCCTCCGGTAGACCCCCTCCCCCCTCAGGGTCCTGCTCCCTAAGGTGTGTCTCAGGTAGACCTTGTCGAGCCTGTCGAGGTCGCTGTCGACTCCGGTGCTGCTGGGGGTGGTGCTGCTAGGGGTGCTGCGTCTGGGGGTGCTGAGCCTGAGCGTGCGGAGCCTGGGAGTGCTGAGCGTGAGCGTGCGGAGCCTGGGGGTGCTGAGCCTGGGGTTGCTGAGTCTGAGGGTGCGGAGCCTGGGGGTGCTGAGTCTGAGCGTGCGGAGCCTGGGGGTGCTGAGCCTGGGGGTGCTGAGCCTGGGGGTGCTGAGCCTGGGGGTGCTGAGCCTAGAGGTCATTTTGTTAGAAGGAAATACTGCCATGAGCAACAAATTGTCGGCGCTGGGATTCGAACTCGTGACCTTCAAATCTGTCCTGAAAGTGTCTCAGGACAGATTCAGGACAGTTTCTGCTAAGGCGCTGGTTATGGTGCACACGAGTTTCGAACTGGAGACCTTTCGATTCAAGTGTCCCGAAAGTGTCTTGTTAGGACAGATTGGGGACAGTTTGGGGACAGATTGGGGACACTTTGGCGAAATCGATCTCGGGTCGCGTTCGGTTTGAAACTCGGCAGCGAAGTGTCGAAGTCAACGGAATTCGCACGGGAGTTACAGTCGGTGGTCGACGGAATTCTGGTCGCGGAAATTCTCGTCTACGGAATTCCAGTCAATGGAATTCGCTCGGCGAAATTCAAGGCTCCGAATTTTGCGTCGACGAAATTCAACGTGCGACCCGGGTCGACACTTTCTTGTGTGCTTTTATTTTGTATTGTGTCCTAGTATAAAACCAGAGAGCACAGACCAGAAATCAACTAAGTCATTATCACTGCTATGTTTGTGTGTAACTCTGGCTATAGTGGACCGTTTCCTGCAAACTTTGGTGCGTTGGAATCGTGCTTTCGAGCTCTATCAAGCTGCTATAGTAGTGGAATTATACATGGTATCAGAGCTGCGTTATCGGCGTCGATCCAACTAGCGGCTTAATTCCGTCCTCCCATCACTTCGTTCCCACGTTGGTGTGGCCGACGCTCGTTTTGACTGCGGATGGAGTGGTTAACGAGCGCGGAGGGCCTGAATGCCCGTCAGGAGCTGGAGGCGTCCGTTCGTGAGCACCACCCAAACTTGCGTGATGAGGAGGTCGACCTCATTGTGGACGGTCGTCTACTACGCATGGTTCGGGAGCGCTCGGCGGAGCAAGCACCTGCGAGCGGCCAGCAAGGAGGAACCGGTGAAGGAGGAGCTGTGCACGAGGCTCCAACTGCCGTGGGCGTTGGTGGAGGAGCTGTTGCACTGACCATTGACACGGGAATGATCGGGGCGAGTTACGGCCAATTCAAGTTTGGAGTTGAGCACATCTCCGTGACGCCGCTGCTCGAGGGAAGGCACGACCTTACCGCATGGGTCAGCGCCATCCGACCTCAGCTCCAGTGTGCTGATTTGTGGCAGTTTTGCAACGGGACAGCACAAAGTCCGGCCCCGAACAACCCTTTGCAACGAAGGGAGTACGCAAAGCTCCAAATGCTTGCATTCATGGTGCTGAACCGATGTGTTTCTCCACCCATCCGAATGTCTATCTCTGGTTTCTCTCAGCAAGAGAAAGCCGGGCAGCTAGCATGGGCATATATCTTGTCTACTTATCAAGCTCGTGAGGCCCTCCACACTTCCCTACTCCAGACCCAGTTAGCCCAACTCAGGAAGGGAGATGATGAGACGGCATAATCCTACTGCAATAGGGCCCGCACCATCCGAGCGGAGCTGCTGACCATCGGACAGGAGGTCCACATGGACACGTTTGCCGCTCACGTGCTGAAGGGTCTGCCACCGGAGTACGGATTTCTTCACCGCAAGCTCGACATTTCCAGCCCTGACATGACGGTGGAACGCGTGTGCAGCGAGGTTGGTGATGGAGGAGCAGACTCTCTCCATCGAACAGAGCTACAAGCAGATCACCAGTGATGCATCGGCTTTCTCTGGCGCTGTCAACACGATCGTGGCTACAACGAGGGTCAACGGAAAGGAAGGGAAAGGAGGAAGGGAGCAGATGGACAAGAAGAAGGATGGCAAGCGGGAGAAGAAGCGAGCCCCCTTCAAGGGGCGCTGCTACAACTGCAATGAGGAGGGGCACATGGCTGCCAAGTGCCCCAACAAGAAGAAGGATACAACACCCGCGGCAGCCGCGAACGTAGCCGAAGGAGACGGGAAGGGCGTGGCGCTCACCGTCGCGTGTTCGGCTGCAAAGTTGCTGGCCGACGACAAGGACTTGTGGTTCCTTGACTCGGGATGCTCCCAACACATGACCGGCCACAAGGAGTGGTTCACGGTGATCCGTGACCCATCTGCAACGAAATCCGTCAAAGGGTTTGATGGGTCTATGAAGGAAGTTGCCGGTGTTGGCGAGGTTTTGCTGAAGGGCACTAACGGCTTGCGTGTGACCCTGCATGATGTCCTCTTTGTGCCAGGAATGAAGGCCAACTTGGTCTCTCCTGGGCACCTCACGGACAAAGGAGCAAATCTGCAAACCGAAGAAGGTGTCACCCACGTCATCGCATCGGGAGGACAAGTGGCTGCAACTGCACGCTACCGCCATCGTCTTCTCTGCCTTGACCTGAAACCGTGGCCAGCAAGCAACGGCACAACGGCAGCAGCAGCATGCAACGGCACGGTGGCTGCATTGGCTTGCACCGGTACGACGGCTGGAGCGGCATGCAACGGCACGGTGGCTGAAGCGGCATGCAACGACACGGCGGCTGGATCGGCATGCAACGGCACGGTGGCTGCAGTGACATGCAATGGCATGACTAAGGCGGTTGCTGACGGAGCGGCCAGCCTCAAGACGTACGCGGTGGGCTCCAAGGCAACGCCCAACTTGTGGCACGCTCGACTTGGACACGTCCACTTCGATGCGGTGAAGCGGACAGCCACGAGCGGTGGCGTGTTAGGCATGGACCTGGAGAAAGGAGGTGAGGATATGCCGTGCACCTCTTGCCATGAAGCCAAACTCACTCGCGAATCATTTCCGCTGCACGACGAGCGCGAGGAGCAGGTTCTTGGGCTAGTCCATACTGACGTGTGCGGTCCATTTCAGACCCCAGCCATGGATGGAAGCATGTACTACATTCTGTTAGTGGACCACGCCTCACGTTACACCTGGGGGAAGACGTTGAAGCTGAAGAGCGACGCGCTTGCTGCCTTCAAGGAATGGCTTCCCGAAGCTGAGCGCCAAACCGGAATGACGCTGAAGGTGTTGCGGTCGGACCGGGGAGGGGAGTTTATGTCGAATGAGTTTCTGTTGCTGCTGAAGCAACGAGGAATCTTGCGTCAACTTTCCTGCCCCTCGACCCCCCAGCAGAACGGTGTGGCTGAACGCCGCAACCGTACAGTAACCGAGGGTATGCGTGTGATGTTGGGCCACATGGGGGTGAAAGCACACTAGTGGCACTTCGCTTTCCAGCAGTTTTTGTGGGTGGTAAACCGTGTGCACCAGTCCACCCTGCCCCATGGTGTGACCCCTCATTTGGTGGTGTTCAAAGTCAAGACCGATGTGTCCATGGTCCGTGTGTTTGGGTGCATGGTGCAATACCTCATTCCTGAGCATGAGCGTGAGGGGAAGCTTGCAAGCAAGACTCGTTGGGGCATGCACTTGGGCATGAGCATGGAAAGCAAGGGATGGCGTGTGGTGGAAGTTGAGTCAAAGCGCATGGTCATCACCCGGGATGCACGTTTTTATGAGGACATGTCTCTTGAACGGTGGCAGAAGTGGCGTGCACGCGTGGGTGACGGGAATGACCAGCCCACACCACCCTTTGCTCTAGTCCCATCTCTCTTTCCTGAGCCCCACGACCCCGAGCAGAATCCGCCGCCACCACGTTCCGTCATCGTGGTCCCGGTTCCGTCCGTGCAAGGGGGCGAGCAACCCCTTGATCGCTCGGTGGGCCCTTTGGGCAGCAAGGCACCTACTGCACCTCCTCCTCTCGGTCCACCCTCCGTTGCTGATTCGGCGCCCGTGGGACCAGAGGATGGTCCTCTGGAGGTTGAGGAGGAAGAAGAAGTAGTAGCAGTGGATGAGCACTCACCAATGGCCCATGAGCATGAGCCTTCACCTGCAGTTCCCCCCATCCAGCCCATTCCACCACCCCCACGTCGCTCCAGCAGGCCTAACAAGGGGGTGCCACCCGTACGGTTTCAGCCATCAGCCATGACGGCTCATGAGGACAACCCGTATGACGTGGCGTACCTTGCTGAGGACGATTGCGACACGGACAGCGATGATGAAATGGAGTACCCGGACGAGGATGAGGAGGAGGAAGGCGCTTGGGGAGGTGTCATCCTCGACCTGGCAGCTACGTTGACCGGACCTGAAGGCAAGGAATGGTGGGCTGCTATGAAGGAGGAGATGGAGAGCCTTGATGAGCAAGGCACTTGGACATTGGCTGACCTACCTGAAGGTCGCAAAACAGTCGGCGTCAAGTGGCTATTGGAGAAGAAGCTGCGGCCTGATGGCACCGTGGAGAAGTACAAGGCCAGACTCGTGGCAAAGGGCTTTAGCCAGCGCTTCGGCGTCGACTACGACGACACCTACGCTCCTGTTGGCACCTACACCACCGTTCGCGTGCTCCTCTCAACCGCAGCAGCTATGGACCTGGATTTGCTGCAGCTTGATGTGAAGAATGCATTTCTTCACGGCACCATCGACCACGAGATCTACATGCAGCAGCCGCCCTACTTCACCGACGGTAGCAGCAAGGTGTGCCTCCTGCAGAAGAGCCTTTACGGGCTAAATCAGAGTCCTCTTCTGTGGTACAAGGAGCTGGACAAGGTGCTCCTTGTGGAGGGGTACAAGAAGAGCCTTGTGGACCAGGCCCTATACTACAAGGATGGGGCAAGTGGGAAGCGCGTGTGGCTGCTAATCTACGTGGATGACCTGCTAGTGGCAAGTGAAGACCAGCAGCTGCTGCAGGACCTGAAGAGGCTGCTGGCCAAGGCGTTTCAGCTCCGAGAGGTGGAGCTAGTGGAGCGCTACCTGGGGCTGCAGATTGTGCGCGACCGCCCCAACAGGACACTCCTCCTGCACCAGAATGCGTACGTGGCGAAGGTGCAGCAGCGGTTCTTCAAGGGGGCGCCACCGAAGAAGCAGCCGATCACTCCTCTCTCCTCTGCCAGCTTTGCCAAGCAGAATGCCAGGCAGTTACCATGACCGAGTACTTGTCAATTCTCGGCATGGTGCAGTTTGCAGCCATCTCAACCCGTCCTGACCTCTCTTTTGCATGCAGTCGCCTTGCAGCAGGTGCACACCTCAGGACGGATGCGCATTGGCATGAGCTCTTCCGCACACTCTCCTACTGGGCTGCCTCACCAGACATGGGGCTGCTGTTCAAGGGAGGACCAGAGAGTATGGCCCTCGTGGGGTATGCGGATGCGGGTGATGCGGGCGACAAGGAGAACAGGTCGTCCATGGGAGGCTACCTCTTCAAGCTTGGCGAAGCTGCCGTTTCCTGGCAGGCCAAGAAGCTACAGGGTGCGACCAAACTTTCCTCCACCGAGAGCGAGCTTGTGGCTGCGGTGGAAGCGGGAAAGGAGGGGCGCAAGCTAAGGTTCCTGCTGTGGGAGTTTCAGCTGCTCAAAAAGGGTGTTCCCACCACCCTGTATGTCGACAACATGTCAGCGGTGCAGCTCAAATAGGCGGGCGCGCTGCAGGGGCGCATGAAGCATGTGGACCGTCGCCACATGTGGCTGCATGATATGGTGCGCATGAAGAAGTTGGAGTTGCAGCACATCCCTACGACGGCGCAGCCCGCGGACTTCTTCACGAAGCGGCTCGACAAGGCAGCCTTCAACCGATGCTGTGCAGCAGCCGGGCTGGTCCAGCGTGCTCTTGACAGCAAGGGGGCGTGTTAGAAGGAAATGCTGCCATGAGCAACAAAATGTCGGCGCTGGGATTCGAACTCGTGACCTTCAAATCTGTCTTGAAAGTGTCTCAGGACAGATTCAGGACAGTTTCTGCTAAGGCGCTGGTTATGGTGCACGCGAGTTTCGAACTGGTGACCTTTCGATTCAAGTGTCCCGAAAGTGTCTTGTCAGGACAGATTGGGGACAGTTTGGGGACAGATTGGGGACACTTTGGCGAAATCGATCTCGGGTCGCGTTCGGTTTGAAACTCGGCAGCGAAGTGTCGAAGTCAACGAAATTCGCACGGGAGCTACAGTCGGTGGTCGACGGAATTCTAGTCACGGAAATTCTCGTCTACGGAATTCCAGTCAATGGAATTCGCTCGGCGAAATTCAAGGCTCCGAATTTCGCGTCGACGAAATTCAACGTGCGACCCGGGTCGACACTTTCTTGTGTGCTTTTATTTTGTATTGCGTCCTAGTATAAAACCAGAGAGCACAGACCAGAAATCAACTAAGTCATTATCACTGCTATGTTTGTGTGTAACTCTGGCTATAGTGGACCGTTTCCTGCAATCTTTGGTGCGTTGGGATCGTGCTTTCGAGCTCTATCAAGATGATATAGTTGTGGAATTCTACACCTTTGTCTGCGGGAGGTCCTACAGGTGCCTCGTCACGGCGGGAGCCTCTCTCTCCACCGCAGCTGCGCGAGTGGTTTGCTCGGCGTTGGAGCCTTCGGAGTGGCACTGTTGGAGCTGGGGGGCCTGCCGCTGGAGGCCCTGGAGCTAGAGGTGCTGGAGTCGCTGGTCCCGGAGGTGCTCGTGCTGGAGGTACTGGAGCTGCTGGAGCCGGTAGTACTACAGGCGCTGGAGCTGGAGGTGCTGGAGGTGCTGGAGCCGCTGGTCCCAGACGTGCTCGTACTGGAGGTACTGGAGCTGCTGGAGCTGGAGGTGCTGCAGGAGTTGGAGCTGGAGGCGTTGGAGCTGGAGCTGCTGGAGGTGCTGGAGCCGCTGGTCCCGGAGGTACTCGTATTGGAGGTGCTGGAGGTGCTGGAGCTGGAGGTGCTGCAGGCGTTGGAGCTGGAGGCGCTGGAGCTGGAGCTGCTAGAGGTGCTGGAGCCGCTGGTCCCGGAGGTGCTCGTACTGGAGGTACTAGAGCTGCTGGAGCTGGTGGTACTGCAGGCGTTGGAGCTGGAGACCATGGAGCTGGAGACCCTGGAGCTGGGGGTGCTGGTGCTGTCGGTGCTGGTTCTGGAGGCACTGTGCGGCCGCGACCGTACTTTGTTCCATTGCTTCAGCAGGTTCTTGGTCTCCAGCCTTCTACTGGCCTTACTCCTCCCTTACTGTATCCACCGCCTGACCAGTCGCAGCCGCAGTTACAGCCAGCCTCCCCACTGCCTGCTCCTTCTCCTTACACTGAGCAGACAGGAGGTCTTACAGAGCGTCGTGAGCCTGCGTCTTGTCCTGCGTCACCTGTTCGCGCTGTTCGCACTCGTCGTCGTGTTCCGCGTCAGCGTCCTCCTCCTGTCCCAGGCACGCACCTGATGGCACTTCGTCCTTCCTCTGTTCCACAGCGTGTCCCTCTGCCGTCTCCTCCTGCGTCCTCTCTTCCTGACGTTCCTGACCCGCAGTCTGACCTTGCTCGTGCTGCCAGTCCTACTGTCACACGTCTTCTAGCCACTGTTGTCACTGACCCTTCGTTTGAGTCCACTGCTGCGTCTGCCCTAGTTGCTGAGCTTGTTGACTTTGCTGCCGCCTGTCGCCTCGACTACGCCGCTAGTCTTGTTGCTGAGTCAGAGTCTGTCTGTCCTCCGTCCGTCGGGGGTGAGTGTGCTCTTGGCACGGACGTCCTTGAGGACAGGCATGAGGACTTTGAGTGTTTTGCAGCTTCTTTACCTCATCTCGTGTCCATGCTGATTGCACCTGAGGGAGACCCGGATGCACCAGACATCCCGACCCCGCGCTCTTACGCAGAGGTGATTGAGGGTCCCTACTCCTCTCAGTGGCAGACAGCCATGGACGCAGAGATGGCATCTTGGAAGTCCACAGGCACTTACGTCGACGAGGTTCCCCCACCTGGGGCGAACATCGTCGATGGCATGTGGATTTTCAGGGTGAAGCGGCCGCCGGGTTCTCCGCCTGTCTTCAAGGCGCGTTACGTTGCACGAGGCTTCAGTTAGCGTGAGGGAGTTGACTTCTTCCAGACCTTCTCCCCTACCCCGAAGATGACCACTCTTCGGGTGCTGCTGCATGTCGCCGCTCAGCGTGACTACGAGCTTTACTCTCTTGACTTCAGCACAGCTTTCTTACAGGGCAGCCTGCACGAGGAGATCTGGCTGCGCCGCCCACCTGGCTTCACTGGGTCGTTTCTTGCAGGTACCCAGTGGAGCCTCCGGCGGCCAGTCTACGGTCTCCGCTAGGCGCCTCGCGAGTGGCACGACACACTGATGACGACCCTTGCGGCTCTTGGGTTTGCTCCTTTGACTGCTGACCCGTCGCTGTTTCTACGCACCGACACTTCGCTGTCGCCATTCTACATCCTCGTGTACGTCGACGACTTGGTCTTTGCCACTGCTGACACTGAGGGACAGGCCCTAGTGAAGTCGGAGCTGCAGAAGAGACACACGTGCACAGACCTGGGTGAGCTGCGCAGCTATCTTGGCTTGCAGATCACCCGGGACAGAGCACGGCGCACCATTACCTTGACTCAGTCACACATGGTGCAGCAGGTCCTTCAGCGCTTCCGCTTCACGTACTCCTCGCCACAGTCCACTCCTCTGCCTACCGGTCAGTCGCTCTCAGCTCCACCTTCGGACGAGTCCGTAGAGCCGAGTGGCCCGTATCCAGAGCTCGTTGGCTGCCTCATGTACCTGATGACCTGCACTCGACCTGCACTTGCCTACCCTCTTAGCATCCTGGTACGCTACGTTGCGCCTGGGAGACACCGACCAGAGCACTGGGAGGCCTCTAAGAGGGTGTTGCGCTACTTGAGCAGTACGTCGGGCATGGGGCTCGTGCTTGGAGGACGGGGTCGATT